AATCCAGATTGTTTCAAATCAAGTTTTCCATGAAAAGACCAAACATATTGATACAGATTGTCATATCGTTCATGAGAAGGTTTGTGTTGGAACTGTTAAAATTCTTCTAGTTTCCTCCATCATGCAGTTAGTTGACATCCTTACAAAAGCGCTTCCTTCTACCTTGTTTAAACATTTAAGTAGCAAGCTAGGAATGAGTAATATATATTCTCAACTTGAGGGGGGTTGTTGAAAATCGGACTTCCGTACTGCATGGTTTGCATATACTTTTCTGTATGGCAGCACTTAACGCATCTTTGTTCTCGCTTAAGCGTGAGTTTTTTATTTTTCTGTTTTGTACTTTGTTTCAACTCTGTGTATAACTCTTATGTTTCATTGATTAATATACAAGAAAATAAACGTTTTCCCATTTTTTCATTTCTTCTCTTTCTCCTTCTCATCTTGTTCTGGTTTTCGTTCCTGAGTACTATTCACTATCTCCTTCACGCGTGAATATCCAATGGATGCTCCAAGCCACGTATCCTTTGTCGAAAGCATGATCTCCAATATTATATGTTTCAATTTTTATAAAAGCACTCATTACATCTATTATTTTGTCTTTTTATCTTTTTCTTTTTTTCTTCCCTCCGCCTCAAGATATAGTGGATGTTCATATTTTTTTCATGTATGTACTATAGTAAAAATCTACAAAGTGCGAGATCATAGTCACAAACTGAGATCATGGAGTAATTGTCATTCTCGTGTTCATTGAAATTAGACATAGGGTAAAATCATGTTTTGCTTCTGGGAAGACATAACTGTGCATTTGTTTGAAACCCCTATTTTCCTGAAATATTTGAGGAACGTAGGATTTGGTGTCTTGACATCAAGAAAATGCGCATTTGTCAATGAACAACCTTCTCGTCATAAGTTCTCCAATACACATATCAAGTGTTTCAAATTCCAAAAGGTATTTAAACTCGTAGACATATTCATCGAAACTAGACATAGGATTTGTCGGTTTTGCTTCTTGCATGACAGAGGAGAGTGCATGGATTAAAAAAAAAAACAATTATCCCAATGTATTTGATAAACGTAAGATTTAGTGTCCTGAGATCCACATAATCAACATTATAAAGTGATACTTGTCTACGACCAACCTTCTCAACCCAAACATTTTATTATTTAATCAAAGTGTCTCGTATTCTAACACTTCATCATACTTAAGTTTCCCACAAGTGGATAAAAGTATTTATAGTTTTAATCCTCACTTCAATCCATCCAAAAAAATAAATAAAAACAAGGGTTATTGAGTTTATTTACTATTAAGAGGAATGACCAACAATCTTTTGAAAGAAATGTCATATACAAATATTCGGCTAAAGAATATCTGAAAATCAAAATAACTTCTCAAAAGAATAATTAAAATAAACATTCTACTTTTAAAGCCTACTTTACCTACTACGTAGGATTGAAGTTTAAGAGAAATACGTAGATACCATTATTAGTATACTTAAGATTTAATGCCACAATAAAGGTGGGAGGCTGTATCTACTGAACAAATGTAATCACCAGGATCCATTTTCAGGACCATCTTGAAAAACATTTGTACTACACTGATAATTGTACCAAACCTGGATAGAGAAATTAATTTAGTGTTTATTCTTCTCGTGGATTACTAAACATTAATCATGCATGGAAATTGATAAAAGTAACTGGTAAATGCTGTGTCCTACATGGTACACGGTTGGTGGCATAATTAGTGATTAAGTACCTGCAGAATTCTTGAAAAACCAAGACAGAGACTCAAATACATAGTTATGCCAAATATAAAAAAGTCAACAACAGCACTTTATAATATTCAAGTCAAATAATAAATTATAAAAAATGCCCAAAAAATGTATAGTAATGAATCCTAAAGCCATTAATTACTGTACCTACGTATATAAATTAATTGTTTTTAACTAACATAAATATCACGACAAATACCATAATATTCGTACCTTTTGTGTAGCATACTCTTAAGGCAAAGATGGCATGCTTGCCGTTCACGGTACTATAAGCTGTATAACCAAAAAAGAAAGTATTGTTCGGTAGTAATTCAAAAGGAATCTGAATATTTCCTTGTTTTGTATTCAATCTATTCATTCATATTGAGAAATTATTATAGGCATGTCATTATTTCTTTATTTTACATGCTCAAAACTTTAATTCTGTGAAATGCAGTTTAGTCAATTTCATTATCTTGAAAGTTAGGTTGTCACACGATCATCATCGAGGAATTTAAAGTTGATGATTACAAAAGCAGCCATCTTTGTCTTTGAAGCTTCTTTATCATTTTATGAGTTGCGGGTCATATCACTCGGGCTTCATATGGCATTAAAAATGGAAACGAATGATTTGATTTTAGATTATTGTTCTTCAGAGAAATGTAATGAGGTCAAAACACTTGGATAAATTATCAGTTAACTAAAGCATCAATTTGTTTGGTCCTTTTAAGAAATCTATAGATGGAAAATTCCAACAGTTATCGATAGCAACAAAATTAAATCACTATAATAAGAACTCAATACAAAAGTATTAGAATAATTTGATTGCAAAACACCAAAAAGCATATAATTACTAGTTTCTAGAATAATATTTAGGGTATTTTGTCACTCTGTCAATTTAACTTCTGATTAATTCATGGAGTGATTTATAATTTAGAAAATATACGAGCAAAAAGAGTGTGAACCAATCCCAATGAAGGTTTAAGTCATAGTTTCATCATTCAACGATTCTAAACCTAATTAGCCTATAAGTCTACCAATTCTACAACAATAGACAATGAAACACTAGAGCAATTAAATTAAGGAATGGAAATAAAATTAGCAATTACATTAAGGATTTTAAAATTTCATGCAAACCTAGCCTAAGGATTAGGTCTCCATCATAATAATATCTGTTAGAAATTCAAGAAAAAACATTTACGAAAAGGGAAGTATTCAATCTCTCTCCACAAGTGCTCTATAAGGACTAAGAAATGTACTCTTAAAAAAATTAATAAAAAATATTTAAAATATCTAATTGAAAGAATAAAATTTCTCTGTTCAATTTACGTAATAATTTGATTAAATTGTAATAATTATCTCAGATTTTTTTTATGTGATGATAATATTATTTAGTTATATCGAAACATTACTCGTTTTCCATGATGTACGTGTTTACTAAATTTATTAAAATAAACAAAAATTAGTTGGAGTGTAGAGGACCCGAGCTCTAAAACGTAGGCAATCGTGAAAGCGAAACAAGTTTCCCATCATGGGACCTACACAGTGACCCAACACACTTTCATTTCACTGTCATACACCCTCTCTATCTCCCTCTGTGTGTTATGTTACATAAAAATTGGTTGGAATCTATCATTATTTTCCATCTCCTTCTTTCTCTCTCTTTGTTTATCAATGAAGAAAACACATATATGTATTAAATACCAATACGTAGAAGCAAGAGATGCATGATGTTGATGCTTGTGATGATGAACGACAACGTGGAACAATGATTTCACACGCCTTGCACAGTGCTGCCACCATTGATTTCCACTTCTTAGCTTTCTTTTCAGCCTATCTCCTCCTCCTGCATTGAATTCCTCGCCCGAATACCTTTTGATATTCCTCGGGATCTCCGAAGCCTGTTCCTATCTCACTGTGCCGCCATAACTACCCACGTGGAGGACTTCCCTCCCCCTTTGCCAAGTTTTCTTCTTTTTCACTTTTGGTTCTCTGGGTTGGTAAGTTCTTCAGAAAACTTTGAGATTCAGCTCGATGATCCATCTTTGTATCACCTTCTTCTTCTTCTTCTTCTGCGTATTATCTTTGATGTTTGCTTCGTTTTTTTAAAAGCAAAAAAAAATCATCCTGGGCTAAAGGGGAACTTTTTTATCATTGTTTTTGGATCCTTCATTTCATTGAAAATGTGGGTTTTGTTGGTCCTGAATTTCCAGACGTTTATTTTACTTTTGGCTACAGCATCATTTTTTTTCTCTGCAGCCCAACAGGAATAAATTTTCTGAAGTCATTCATAAATTTGGGTTCTATTTCCAATTGTTGAGTCATGTTGTCTACTACTAAATTGGCTACCCCATTGCTTTACGCATCAATTGGTTCTGTCAAAGTTTTGCACAAGTATTACCTATGCTTACTTCTATGGTTTTGTGTCTGTGTTCTGATTTGGGTTCAAACCAGAGGTTTTGTCATGATATTGATATGCATTTATGTGCAATTAATTAGCATCAGATTCAGACGCCTCATATTCATAGGTTAATGTATGGTAAATACGTTCATTGTTGTTTTCTTGAGTAAGGAGTGGTGGATATCCATTGTTTTTGTTCACTGAATTAAGACCGTGGATTTTTACAATAAACTCAATCACTTCCCTTTCACGTAGCTTTCTGTCACAACTTCCCAATTCATTCTTGTCAGTACCAAAATCAATTTTTTATGTTTCAAGGAACAATTAACTATTTACTTTTGATACCAAAATATACTAAAAGAAAGAAAGTAATAACCCCTTTAACTTGACGACTCTTTTCTCCTCTAATATCATTGAATTGTTGAATGCCATGCCTTCAATTTATGTCTCCATATTTTCTACACAGACTTTGCCTTGACTTTGATAAATTGTAATATGTGATACATGTTATTTTGTTTATGCGTAGATACCATTGTTGTGTTATAAAATGTAATTTGATATCATACTTGCCTTGTTTTGTTTAAGTGCTTTGGAGGCCATCTAAGTTCCTTCTGCAAAATCCTTATTTGGTTAGATATAATTTTTGCACCATATTTTTTGGAATTCTTTTTTATTTTGTTCGAACTGATTAATTAATCTAAATGTAAACATTTCCAGATCAAGTGGATTAACTCCACTGCAGCACGAGTTTAAGGGAGAAACTTCAGATTGAAATTTTAGCATATATTATGTCATATCTTTGATCGTTCAATATACACCCAAATAATGAGTTGTTGAATCCCTCTGAAGAGATGGGGTTTGGTTTAAGCCTTAGAAAGAAAAGCTCAAAACAGCAAAGCAGGTCAAATTCAGTAAACGATGGTTCTGATTTGCCCCAACCCAATCCATCTCCAAGGGACTCACTTAAGTTAAATTCTAAGTCTATTGTTGGTCAAGCAAGCACTGATCCTGGTTATAAAATAAAGCATGATGTAGTAAGAAATGTTGAGCCCTTGGATAGGGCAAAGGGAAGTTCAACTCCACCTGATGAACTTGTCAAGTACATGTCTAATTTGCCTGGATTTCTCAAGCGTTCTGATGGAGGAGAAAGCATTCAAGGGAAGGCTTTAAATGTTGGGGTTCTTGATTGGTCACAACTTGAAAAATGGAAGAGCAAGCAGACGCATACAAAGGCAGAAGCTAGCAAGTTCTCATCATTCAATAGCAGTGAAGAAACATCATCAAGGGAAGCCACCGCATCATCTACCATTTCTGATGGCGATAATAAAAAGCTTGATGGTAGAAAAGGTTTGAGTTCTTCAAGAAACAAGCAACCTTATAAAGAAGAGCTTGCTAAAAGTTCTAAAATGTCTTCTCAGAAGGTTAAACAGTGTCAACATTCTGACATTAAAACAAAGACCATGGGGGAAGTGCTCGGGATCTCACCCTGGGAATTTGGAAAAACTCAGTCAGTTACATCACTTCAGATGGGGAAAGTTAATGACTATGATGAAATAACTACAGTATTTGGAAGCTCTGCATCCAAATCCAGGCATCATGGGGTCTCAGTAGGTCATAATGAAAATTCAAATGGTAGGAGTGTTGAAGATGAGAAGAGAATGAAAGGTTTGGATCAGCATAGCCTCAAGAAAAAGGAGAGAAGCCTAAAGTCTAGTTCTGATAAGGGTATTTCATCATTAGAGTCAAAAAATAAAGATATCTCATTTGGTTCTCAGAAGAAAATGAGTTCCAGTTGCAGTGAACCCAAGAAAAAGATGGATCAGTGGCAGGAATCAGATATTGATACTGGTCATAGACAAAGTCATAGGATGCGTAGTAATATTGTGTTGCTTCGTCCCCGAAGAGTTCAACAATTGAAATCGGAAGACTATTTTCAGCATTCTCATTCAAGAACCTCATCCCATGAAGACCTTGCGGAATCAAGCCGGAGTAGTTTGTCATATATGTCCATTCCTGGAGAGGTTTATGCTGAAGATTTACATTCTGAAATTCCACATTCTAGAGTACAGCCTTCTGTGACTGAGCTTGTTTCCTCGGAACCACTGCCACAGAGTAATAATACTGATCTAGATATTGGTCGGTCTTCTGTTGTATATAAGAAAGCATCTTGCTCAAATAACACATCTAGTCTCCAATCGGAAGACACTTGTATTGAAAAGGATGTGTTAGATATCAAGCAAAAAAATCAGTGTGCTTTCAGTAATGTGCTGGAATCACGGGACCGTGAAACTCCTGAGCTTACACCTCAGAATCCCTCATCTAATCGTCGACTTAGCTTAAGCTTAAGTAGGATTGGGAGAAGTTTCAGTTTCAAGGAAGGTTCTATTCCAAAACTTAGCTCCATGTATGTTAGCACAGAATTTGGTTTAGTGACACCAGAATCTTCTGCTTGTTTGGAAAACCGTAGCAAAGATAAGGTAAAAGGTCATAACAGAACGAGGTCCAGCCCCTTGCTGAGGTTATTAGACCCCATATTAAAGCATAAGGCATCAAGCACACACTATTCAGATGAACACAGTGTGACATCAAAAGGAAGCATAGATTCGATCAGTTTGAGGACAATCAATCTGCATGATGAAAAGAGTAAAGAATCATCAATCCAAGCTCTTTTGCAGGTAACAATAAGAAATGGAATACCTTTGTTTAAATTTGTGATCAATAGTGAAAGAAAGGTTCTTGCCGCTACCATGAAGAGTGTGCAGGAGAAGGATGATTTAGACTGCTATTTTACATTCTACCTTGTCAATGAAATAAAGCAGAAGAGTGGCAAATGGATGAGTCATTGGGGTAAAGAAAAAAACTGTGGATATGTCTACAATGTCGTTGGTAAGATGAAGGTTTCTAGCTCTAAAATGGATGAATCAAACAATGAGAAATCTAAGAGAGAGAGAGTAATGAAAGAATATGTCCTAATGGGAGTTGAAGTTGACCAGCTAAATCAAGAAACATCACAGATATTCATGAGCAACGAGCTTGCAGCTGTTGTCATTGAGATTCCTTGTGAAAACGTAAATCCTGAAGGACTATTATATAGTCATAATTTGCTGAGGAATAGATGCTTAAAGTGCTTTACAGATGAAAAATGTTTTTGCAGTGGACAAGAAAATGATATCTATGGCAGCATTAAGGTTATACTTCCTGGTGGTGTACATAGTTCACCAAAAACTGGAGAACCTTCACCATTGATCCAAAGATGGAAGTTTGGGGGATCATGTGATTGCGGAGGTTGGGATGTTGGTTGCAAATTGCTTGTTCTCTCGAACCAAAACCTTAGTTCAAATGTTCCAAGGAGTTCAAAATCTTCCCTCGAGAGATTTCATCTTTTTGTTCAGGTATGCTTTTACTTTTCTTCCTGTGGCCTTAAGTATCTACAATTACAAATACAACGACTAGCCAGTTAATATCATCTATGTCATAACTTTCAGGAAGGAGCCGTGGAAAACACTCCCCTATTCACTTTGCTGCCATTGAAAGATGGATTATATTCGGTCGAATACAGTTCAACTATCAATCATTTACAAGCATTCTTCATTTCAGTGGTAGTTTTAAGCAGCCAGGAATTACCAAATTCCTTGGAAATGAATAACATACAAGAAGCAATCGATAAGGAATTCAGTTCCAAGACCAATAATGAACTTCAGGGGAAGGCACCTTTATACTATAATCCAATTCCTCCATACTCTCCTGCTGACAGAGTTTAATTTCAGAAAGTGAAGGCTTTTTCACCATCATAGATAGCTGTTATATATTACCATGAAGCTAGGGAGTTACAAAGTTTTGCACTTACAAATGTTTCTCCATAAATACCTGTGGCGGCAGAAAATGGTATTCTCATTGTATTCTTGTATTCATTGTACAAAAGAACCACTGCACCAATACCGTCATCATCTTACAAAATACAACACCAAGGAATAAGAATAGTATAGTATTCATTGTACATCATTTGCACTGTCAACGTGAACAGCTGAAACTATAATTTAATGAACCATAGTATAAGGCCCTGCTTTTAGAAGTCCTCTTAACTGTTCTGTATTCTGGGGATATTAATGTTGTGGTGTAAATCAATTAAGCAGTATTCCTTGAATCTCAGTTTTGACATCATTGTAATATCTCCAGTAGGAGATTTTTGCTTTCCAGTTTGTCCTCGAGCATTACAATAATTTTTTTGTATATATGGTTTAATGCTTCATGGTGGTGATTATTATACAATTATGAAAACCAAAGAGCTTAGTAGTTCTGAAAGAAAATACATAATTTATTTCCAGTGTATTAGTACCTATATATAACAATAATTAGCAGGCGCTTGCTATGTTTGAGACATGTACTACAATGCACAGCCAAACTCGTGTCTGTGTGTGTTATTTGGTCCATTTCATGTTACTCATGAACCAATTGTCCCAAGAGCTTAGTTTAAGAAAGTTGGAAAAGTACTTCTATCAATTTAGGCTCCATTTGATCTGTAATGTGATAATGGACAAAAGGAATCTTATATATCACAAAAACAAGTTTGTGTTTTGTTAATACACAATACAAATATAAAATTTACCACTATATCTCTCTTTTTAATTTACCAGAAAAATATGAATGTCTAATCAAATATTAAGAAAAGATAAAAAATGAAAGAGAAAACACTTAGAAAGAAAAAAAAAAAAAGATGAAAGAGAAAACGCTATAATCAAACTTGATTGCTAAATTAAAGATGAAACAATAAAAAATAAATGATAAATTGAGGATAATATTATGAATTGGAAATATCATTAGTGAGAAAATCACTTAATTATACGAAAATTAAACAGGTCATTATCAAAACACGGATCTTATGTTAACTTATTCATATGCTAATACTGAATTAGGGAAAACATATTAAATATTTTTAACATTTAGTTATCGGAATTTTTTTTTATCTAAAATTAATAATTTAAATTTGATTAAAAAACACTTTCGTAAAGTGAAATGAGTTACTGCTAATAGAAAATTAATGGAAAACTTAGTAAATTTTACCATTTGAAAATACAGTTAAAAAATTATAAGTATACTTATGACATTTGTCATAATCAAGGTAGACATGGAGATGTTATCATCCTTCAAAATTTTTATTTTTGTTTATTATTATATATGTAAACGGAGTAATGATCATCTTTTTATCAGCATTTCTTAAAAAAATAAAGAAAAATTATCTTTTAGAAATTTCTTTGTTCATTATATTTTTTTCTCATTATTAGAAAATAACAATAATATTATTCTTTTATTTTCAACCATTCTATTTTATATTTTTATCTTTTTCTTTTTTTCTCCTCCATTTTTTTATGGTAATTAATTTAATGTATATACATTAATTAATTTATCCCCTTAACTCCACTCTTGGTGGGAAATGCATTAATATACAAATTGAATCTAAAGCATGAAAACAGGTTGCATGGACAAAATCCTTTACCTCGATTTTGTCCTAGCTTAAGAGCCACTTTGGGTCATTTTAAAAAATAAAAATTTTAAAAAAAATATTAATTAAAAAACAGTATAATACTCATTTATAAAATATTTAAATATCTTTTTATTCCTAATCAATTTATTGTTATTTTTTGGTTCATAATAATTTTTTATAATTTTTTGGTCTTTAATAAAAATGGAATCGTATTTGGTCCGTAGTGTCTAGGTTTCGCTATTCTACTGTTAGACGTTTTCATGTTATCATCTACGTATTTGTCCACATTTTTTTTACTTGAATAAATTCTTATAAATTTATTAATTTTGAATTTACTCTCTTAATTTCTTTTCTCCCTTCATTAGTCTTCAATAAAAAAAATTATTTGTTCTTACTATTAAGTTATGTTTTTTTGTGTTGATGCACGGATTAACAAAAATTGGACCAATAAAAAATATTAATAAGTCAATCGAAAATCATCACAAGTTTAATAACAAGTTAACTCATTTATAGATGATGGTTTAAAAGTTAATTAACTAGGACAAATTGTCATGTCCAATATTAAAATTATTTAATAACACTCATGTATTAGAGTATGTACCATTATAGAATTGATTAAATAATGAGTAGACTAATTAGAATTGATAAAATTAGACCCCCAGAACAAAGCAACGTACTTAATAAACACACAATCTAATAAATTTACTATAAACTATAATTAAAATATAACCTAACATGTATCAATAGAATAGAATCTACTATTGATAATATCCAAATTATATGTTTTGTTATCATAATTTATCTAAATGTTATTTTTACAATTTTTTATATTATAATTTTTCATCTATTAATCCTAATTTTGTAACTTTTGTTTTAAAATATTTTTCGTTTATTTAATAATTTGTATATCATCTTTTCAAGATTAATCATCCTCTTATTTGATTTGTGAAGAAAACTTGTAACAAATTTAGTAATTAACTAAGTAATGCAGTGTCATTTAAGAGGTAATCGTTTAGAAACATGTTAATTATTATTATTATTTTGATTAGAAGTAAAAGTACTTTTAAACTCTTTTAACTAAAATCTAAACATGCAATTGAATGGTTGGTGAAAATACACATGGTGTCTTTTGACTATCACGTTGATTTATATATCAGCACAAAATAATCAACAAGACCTTCTAGTATTTAGTTATGCCTAGAGTATGAGGTTTATAGGTATAGAATTATCTATTGATTTTCCATCAATCAAATTTTCAGTTAAAATAAAATGGTCCAATATTCTAGCATGGACCTTTACTTGATAAGAAGGAAAGAAATATGTAAAAATATTAGGTGAATGAAAATAAATAAGAAACAGAGGAAAACAAAATTATTGATAAGAACAAAAAAAGGTGAACGAAAATAAATAAAGAGCGGACTTGTAAAACAAAATGTATAACTTGGAAAAAAAAACATGAAAAGTGACTATTTATATGGTAGTTAATGGGATTCAGGTTTGGGTCAGCCCAATTTATATGGTAGTTGGGTCAATAATTATTTCTGCAGAACAAGTCTGATCTATTTTTTGGGCCGACAACCGAAAAGGGAAAACCTTATTATTGGATTTTCACTTTCATCAGGTAAATTTTATACATTCCATTTCTGTTCTGGATTTTGCAGGACTTTGGGATACACATAGATAAATGGACATGCTTGTCATTTGTCAACTGCATACCCAATGTTAACATGTGGTGATCATATATACCAACATATTAAATAATAATGTAATTACTATGCCAATAGCAAAACTTTCACAGATGCAAGAAATAATAATATGTAACCAAAAAATAATATTGTTAATAACATTCATTGCATCATCACGCATGCTTTAGCAAGAAACAAGCAGAGAAGCCTCTTGCAATACAAAATTGCAGATAAAATGATAAACCCAACTGCAATGGTTGACTTCCTTCAGAAAAAATAAATTAAAATTAAGATTTTTGTTACAGAGAAAAAAGAATATAGATTAATATATGGTTGGTACTTTCGATTTGTGAGCCCCAAGCATACGACATAAAGTGACTTAATGAAACACCACACAACTAAATTATTGAAAACTATGTATTCACGTATAGTTAATTTGATTTGTAATTTCTCAATCTGATGGTTCCTGATCATCCTGAATTTGTGATAGCAAAGACACCACAAATGATACATATACGCCTTCACGTTTTAATAAGAAAAAAAAAAACTTAAGCACATTATTAAAAAACCAATAACAATCGAGGTTATTTCTCTTTTATTGTCCCAATGCCTTAATTAGACCGTTTAGTCTGGATATTGCCCTCTTGTTCTAAGGTTAATGTATGCTTAATTACTTTCTTTTTTTCTTCATGAATGGTGGGGCACATGCACATCACGCATTATTAAGACTTGATCTATATAGAGATAGTTGCTTTTGCTTTCTGGAGAATTTGAAATTCAAGCAATGATGTGACTTCACTCAAGGATCTTCTGAATTCATTTCCACTTTAAACTTTTTTTATCATAAGGGTAATAATTAATCTTTTCAAATATTGTTGCTACATCAAAATTGAAATTTTACTTTCATAACTTGTCTATAATTTTATCTATGTAAACTATTAAAATAGAAAGTTAAGCAAACTACATAAATAATCCATAACCGGAAATAGAAAAAGTCTCCCACTACATTATATTTATCACAGAAAAAAATGTCTGGTATCAGTCACACGTACAGGGACAAATAGATCCCATGATACATATATATCCTACATTCCTATGATCTGTCACCTTGTGTCAACATTAATAGTTTCAAATTATATAGCCCAGATTAATTGGCTAATTGGCAAGAATTAAGGAAAGTATTTCATGTAACAATGTTCTAATCAAACTTGAAAGGAATAATATCCATATATAGGAATGTTTTATGTGGAGCTTATGACAAATTTTCATGGTCTTCAGCTGTTTTGGAATAGAAGAAGGTTGTGACAGACACATCATTCAATTTAAACAGTAGTAACTCTCTTTTTTCTTTTGTTTTTTCTCTTTAAAAATAATCCAAAGTAGTAGGTATTTTATCCTCTTTAAATACTCACCTAATTAGTTAGCTACGAAAAATAAAATGATACTATTTGTGACGCGATAAAATAATATTTTCTAGAAGTGAATGCTAGACATTGGAGGAAGAAACGATTGACCGAAATGACCCCAATGAGAGACTTGTGGTTTGAGCTTGAAAGGATCTGACGAACCAATAAAAACCGTTACTTGTGGCACA